GCCGTGCATTTGTGCGCAGGAAGATGCAGCACCTGTCGCAGATGGACTCTCTCCCTCTAGATGTCTCCTTTCGCTTAAACAAAACAAGGGCCAGCACCACTCACATTTCAAAGTTTGCGAATCCCAGATGGACAAACAGCCACGTCTGAGAGAGAGATCGCCAAGACCGCCAGGGATTCCTACTCCAACAACTTTTCGCCGTCGAAACCAAACGCGACGAGGCTGCCCGGGAGCTACTGGACGGGGGCCCTACCTTAGTCATCCCTGAACGAGATCGTCTGGACAGCCCCGTCGCCCTGCAGGAGCTCCACACCGCTGTGAAAGGGCTCGCAGCCGGTAAAGCCCCGGAGATTGACGGCCTGCCGGTTGAGTTTTACGCGGCCTTCTGGGATGAGCTTGGCCCTCCACTACTACAATTGTTGACGGAGAGGCCTGCAGAAGGGGGAACTCCCCACAGAACTGCAGGAGAGCGGTGGTCTCCCTGCTACCCAAGAAGGGGGACCTGCACCTCCTCGTGAACTGGCGACCCGTGTCCTTCTTTGTGCGCCGACTACAAAATCTTCTCCAAGGTGCTGGCAAACGGTCTCAAGACAGCTCTGGGTCAGCTGATCCTGCCGGAACAGTCATATTGCATCCCCGGATGGTGCATATAACGACAACATCGGTACGGTCAGAGTTGTAATCTCCCTTGCAGTAGAGCACAGCGTGGACTTGGGCCTCCTCTTCGTGGATCAGGAGAAGGCCTTCGACAGGGTGAGCCACGAGCACCTGGACAAACTCCTAACGACGTTCGGCTTCGGCCAGGCCTTCATCTCGCACGTTAGGCTCCTGTACACGGGGGCACATCCAGCCTCACGAAGATAAACCAGCGGCTCGGCGCCCCCTTTCCCTGTGACGAGGGGGGGGCAGACCTGGGATGCCCCCTCTCGGGGCTGCTGTACCACCCTGTCCATTGAGCCACTGCTAACCCACCTGAGACGAAATCTGTCTGGCCTCAAAGTCTCGGGACCTGAGAACGCGATCATCATGCTCTCGGCTTACGCAGACGACGACGTGATGCATCATCCTCAACGACACGCATGACGTCTCCACGCTCTGCCAGGCGGTTGCAGTGTACGAGAGGGGGGCCTCCTCCGCCAGGGTCAACTGGGCCAAGTGCGAGGCCTCCCTCTGTGTGTTTGTGGTCGCGAGGCGGCGTTCGCTCCGTGCTCCTCCCAGGAGGAGTCAGTCGGCAGGACAACGGAGTCAAGTACCTGGGGGTTTACCTGGGGAACCACGTGACGTCGCTCTGAACAACTGGACCGAGCTAGCCGACACCATCGAGGCTAAATGACTGACATCGGCGCCACGCCTCGCTCCGCAGATGTCATTCAGGGGCCGAGTGCTCGTCGCTAAAACCCTGGCTGCGTCCGCGCTGTGGCACGAGACCCAAGGCCCCTCCAGCCTCCTGCTTGGCTACTCACCAGAGTCAACCGCTCATTCGCGCGCTTCGTCTGGCACGGGAAAGCACCGGCTCAGGCCGGGCGTTCTCTGCCTGCCGGTGGCCGAGGGCAGCCAGGGTCAGGTGGACGTCGCCGCCAGGGTCGTGAGCTCCAGGCTCATGGCCATCAGATGGCTGCTGTACGACCGGGAGGAGATACCCTGGAAGTCGCTGCAACTCACCCTGATGAGAAATGCAGGGGGGGGGTGCCTGGGGTACGGAAAGGAGCTCTTCCTGATGGATGTGATTCCTCGTCGACTACGCGAGGCTGCCAGGTTATTACTGGAGCCTTTTGTACGCATGGCAGAGCAGAGCAGAACACATGCGCACTACGACCTCGCACATTTCCTGAATGAGCCCCTCGTTCTGCAATGGCCTCTAGCGCAGGCCCCCACCAGCGCAAGTGGAAGACCGCGGCTGAGATCGCCAGCACCGCTAGGGGACTCCGCTCCACGCTCGCCGGGGAGAAGCTGCTGCGGGACGTCGCTCCGCGCCATGCAGGAGCTGCGCCTGAAGCTGGAGGTGCCGGGGGACGGTGGCGGCCCTCTTCCACCCTCCTTCCTCTCCTTCCCGGAGTTTCGCTTCTCCTGCACGCAACCTCGGCAGCCACAGCGACTCTGGCAAGCTACTGAAGCCCCGAGGCTGCAGGAACGTTGCCCCTGAAGAGCGTCCCGAACAAAGCGCTCTACACGTGGCTGTGTCAAGGCGCTGCATTCCCGGGACCTGGCCGACCTACCGGACACTAAATGGAGAGAACATTTCTCTCCCCTCATTGCGGCCGCCCCCCCAGTGTAAACAAATGTACAAAGTCTCCCGTAGCCAAACGCTGCGGTGACCTCCGGTGGAGGTTGGCACACTGCACGTTGCCATCGGCCGTGTGGCTCTGCCGAATCTCGCCGGGGGTAACAGACTTGGTGCATCTCCTGCGGTGCCAGGGAGGATCTGCCCCACCGGTACTTACGCTGCCAGCGGCTCAAGCTCAATGTTCCGCCTTTAGGGGAACATCTTCAGGAAACTGGGGTTGCCCTTCTACAACAGCAGCTTCGTATATGGGATGCTTAACCTGGCTAACAAACGCCATGATCTCTCCAACATCGTCTGCACTCAAGCGAAGATGGCGGTGTACAGAACGAGGAGGCCTGCTCAAGGCGCGGCTCCGGCTGGAGCACGCCACGTGACACACACACGTGTCGGTGATGTGCAGCGCGTCTTCTTCGAACGCTGGGGGGCCGGACAAGCCCCTCTCTGTACCAGCGTGGACGGCACCACTCACGTGTTCACCTTCTGAAGCGCTCGCTCGTCGCCGTGGCGTGCGCGATGATCACCACCACCACCACGTGACTTTTCTTTCGTGTTGTGCGTGGCGCATTTAGCACGACAGCGCGTGGATTTATAGCGATTGTGTTGTTTGTTGTTGGTGACTTTGTGTGTTTCGGATCGAAATTGCATTCCAGTGCTGTTGCTGCTGGCGGCAATAAAAAAAATGTTTAAAAGTCAAAGTTAAAAGTCTTGGAGTATCTCTCTATCTTTCTACCCATATCACTACCGAATCACTATCACTGCCCCTATCACTTCCACAACCCCTATCAGTGCCCCAACCCCTATCACAACCCCAGCCCCTATCACTACCCCTATCACTACCTCAGCCCCTATCATTACCCCAACCCCCTATCACTACCCCAGCCCCTATCACTATCCCAACCCCTATCACTACCCCAGCCCCTATCACTACTCCAACCCCTATCACTACCCCAGCCCCTATCACTACCCCAACCCCTATCACTACCCCAACCCCTATCACTACCTCAGCCCCTATCACTACCCCAATCCCTATCACTACCCCTATCACTACCCCAAACCCCTATCACTACCCCAACCCCTATCACTACCCTAACCCCTATCACTACCCCATACCCTATCACTACCCCAACCCCTATCACTACCCCACCCCTATCACTACCCCAACCCCTATCACTACCCCAACCCCTATCACTACACCAACCCCTATCACTACCCCAACCCCTATCACTACTCCAACCCCTATCACTACCCCACCCCTATCACTACCCCAACCCCTATCACTACCCCTATCACTCCCCAACCCCTATCACTACTCCAACTCCTGTCACTACTTCAACCCCTATCACTATCCTAACCACTATCACTACCCCAACAACTATCACTACCCCAGAAAGAGGCAAAACCCCCATCCATAAATACGAAGAAGGAGGCATAACAGCGATGATGATGATGATTCACTTCTATCCCGCGACTGCTCCTGTTGAAGCGGTTATCTGGGCCACCTGAATGTCACATCCGAGTCATTGCCACCGCATCTACCAAACTCCTTGTTTACTTACATTGTTACCAGGCAAGGCCCCACTGAGCTCCGTATCTCTTCTTGAGAAGCCACCCTGCCAATCACAAATGCGAGCTCAACGATGTGTGCCTATCATCATCATCATCATCACGTGGAAATGTATAACAGCGGCTACATCACTCTAAACGGGTCGCAATGATTTTCAAGGTGGAATTGGGGAATATAAAAAAGAGAAACGTTGGACTCGGAGTAAAATCCACGCGACCACGGGGAAAGTCTGACGCAAACACCAAATATACAGCGGCCAGGCGTCAGGGGTGGGGATCGGACCCAAGAGACCTCCTGTAGACCAGGCGAGGGAGTTAACATCTCCAGGCCACCGCGATGATGATGATGATGATGAGAGACACGCAAACTTCAAATATACAGCAGCAGACATCAGGATCGGGAATGAACCCACGACCTCCTAGTTGACCAGGCGAGGAAGTTAACATCTCCTAGCCACCGCGATGATGATGATGATGAGAGACAATCAAACTCCAAATATACAGCAGCAGGCATCAGGGTCGGGATTGAACCCACGACCTCCGAGTTGACCAGGCGAGGTAGTTAACATCTCCTAGCCACCGCGATGATGATGATGATGAGAGACAATCAAACTCCAAATATACAGCAGCAGGCATCAGGATCGGGATTGAACCCACGACCTCCTAGTTGACCAGGCGAGGAAGTTAACATCTCCTAGCCACCGGGATGATGATGATGATGAGTGACAATCAAACTCCAAATATACAGCAGCAGGCATCAGGATCGGGATTTAACCCACGACCTCCTAGTTGACCAGGCGAGGGAGTTAACATCTCCTAGCCACCGCGATGATGATGATGATGAGAGACAATCAAACTCCAAATATACAGCAGCAGGCATCAGGATCGGGATTGAACCCACGACCTCCTAGTTGACCAGGCGAGGGAGTTAACATCTCCTAGCCACCGCGATGATGATGATGATGAGATACAATCAAACTCCAAATATACAGCAGCAGGCATCAGGATCGGGATTGAACCCACGACCTCCTGTACACCAGGCGAGGGAGTTAACATCTCGTTACATCAGCGGAACAGATGAAGAAGAAGGGAGGTGGAGAGTAGGGGGGGGGAGAAGAGGGGGGATGGGGACCTCCCCCAACACCGAGTGCCATCAGCGCCCGTGGTGTGCCAGACGGCTCCACTTAGACAGCGGCGGCGCCTCGGTGGCGAGCTGCTCGGCAGAAGAAGCCTCACGTCCACTCAGACTCACCATCACTCACCATCACTCACCATCACTCACCATCACTTCACATCACTCAACATCACTCCACATCACTCACCATCACTCACCATCACTCACCATCACTAACCATCACTCCCCATCACTCACCATCACTCACCATCACTCACCATCACAACCCATCACTCACCATCACTCCACATCACTCACCATCACTCACCATCACTCACCATCACTCCACATCACTCACCATCACTCACCATCACGTCCACTCAGACTCCACATCACTCACCATCACTCACCATCACTCACCATCACTCCACATCACTCAACATCACTCCACATCACTCACCATCACTCCACATCACTCACCATCACTCCCCATCACTCACCATCACTCACCATCACTCACCATCACTACCCATCACTCACCATCACTCCACATCACTACCCATCACTCACCATCACTCACCATCACTCACCATCACTCCACATCACTCACCATCACTCCACATCACTCACCATCACTCACCATCACGTCCACTCAGACTCCACATCACTCACCATCACTCACCATCACTCCTCATCACTCACCATCACTCACCATCACTCCACATCACTCACCATCACTCACCATCACTCACCATCACGTCCACTCAGACTCCACATCACTCACCATCACTCACCATCACTCACCATCACTACCCATCACTCACCATCACTCACCATCACTGACCATCACTCCTACTACCCATCACTCACCATCACTACCCATCACTCACCATCACTCACCATCACTCACCATCACTACCCATCACTCACCATCACTCACCATCACTGACCATCACTCCACATCACTCCACATCACTCACCATCACTCCTCATCACTCACCATCACTCACCATCACTCCCCATCACTCATCATCACTCCCCATCACTCACCATCACTCACCATCACTCACCATCACTCCTACTCCCCATCACTCACCATCACTCCTCATCACTCACCATCACTCACCATCACTCACCATCACTCCACATCACTCCACATCACTCACCATCACTCCCCATCACTCACCATCACTCACCATCACTCCCCATCACTCACCATCACTCACCATCACTCCTCATCACTCACCATCACTCACCATCACTCACCATCACTCCTCATCACTCACCATCACTCCTCATCACTCCTCATCACTCCACATCACTCCCCATCACTCCCCATCACTCCTACTCCCCATCACTCCTACTCCCCATCACTCCCATCACTCCTACTCCCCATCACTCCTACTCCCCATCCCTCCCCATCACTCCCAATCACTCCCCATCACGCCCCATCACTCCTACTCACCATCACTCACCATCACTCCTACTCCCCATCACTCCCCATCACTCCTACTCCCTATCACTCCCCATCACCCCCCATCACTCCCCATTACGCCCCATCACTCCTACTCACCATCACTCCCCATCACTCCCCATCACTCCTACTCCCCATCACTCCCATCACTCCTACTCCCCATAACTCCTACTCCCCATCCCTCCCCATCACTCCCAATCACTCCCCATCACTCCCCATCACTCCTACTCACCATCACTCCCCATCACTCCCCATCAGTCCTACTCCCCATCACTCCCCATCACTCCTACTCCCTTTCACTCCTATTCCCCATCACTCCCCATCACTCCTACTCCCCATCACTCCTACTCCCCATCACTCCCCATCACTCCCCATCACTCCTACTCCCCATCACTCCTACTCCCCATCACTCCCATCACTCCTACTCCCCATCACTCCTACTCCCCATCCCTCCCCATCACTCCGAATCACTCCCCATCACGCCCCATCACTCCTACTCACCATCACTCCCCATCACTCCTACTCCCCATCACTCCCCATCACTCCTACTCCCTATCACTCCCCATCACCCCCCATCACTCCCTATTACGCGCCATCACTCCTACTCACCATCACTCCCCATCACTCCCCATCACTCCTACTCCCCATCACTCCCATCACTCCTACTCCCCATAACTCCTACTCCCCATCCCTCCCCATCACTCCCAATCACTCCCCATCACTCCACATCACTCCTACTCACCATCACTCCCCATCACTCCCCATCACTCCTACTCCCCATCACTCCCCATCACTCCTACTCCCTTTCACTCCTATTCCCCATCACTCCCCATCACTCCTACTCCCTTTCACTCCTATTCCCCATCACTCCCCATCACTCCTACTCCCCATCACTCCTACTCCCCATCACTTGTACTCTCCATCACTCCTACTCCCCATCACTCCTAATCCCCATCACTGGTACTCCCCATCACTCCTACTCCCCATCACTCCTACTCCCCTTCCTCCTACTCCCCATCCTCCTACTCCCCATCACTCCCCATCACTCCTACTCCCCTTCCTCCTCCCCATCACTCCTACTCCCCATCACTCAACATCACTCCTACTCCCCATCACTCCAACTCCCCATCACTCCTACTTCCCATTACTCCCCACCACTCCCTATCACTCCCCATCACTCCTACCCCCCATCACTCCTACTCCCCATCACTCCTACTCCCCATCACTCTCCATCACTCCAACTCCCCATCACTCCTACTCACCATCACTCCCCATCACTCCTACTCCCCATCACTCCTACTCCCCATCACTCCCCATCACACCTACTCCCCATCACTCCTACTCCCCATCACTCCTACTCCCCATCAGTCCAACTCCCCATCACTCCTACTCCCCATCACTACCCATCACACCTACTCCCCATCACTCCTACTCCCCATCACTCTCCATCACTCCTACTCCCCATCACTCCTACTCCCCATCACTTGTACTCCCCATCACTCCTACTCCCCATCACTCCTACTGCCCTTCCTCCTACTCCCCATCCTCCTACTCCCCATCACTCCCCATCCTACTACTGCCTATCACTCCTACTCCCCATCACTCCCCATCACTCCCCATCACTCCCCATCACTCCTACTCCCCATCACTCCAACTCCCCATCAATCCTACTCCCCATTACTCCCCATTACTCCTACTCCCCATCACTCCTACTCCCCATCACTCCCCATCACTCCGACTCACCATCACTCCTACTCCCCTTCCTCCTACTCCCCATCTCTCCTCATCACTCCTACTCCCCATCACTCCTACTCCCCATCACTCCCCATCACTCCTACTCCCCTTCCTCCTACTCCCCATCTCTCCTCATCACTCCTACTCCCCATCACTCCTACTCCCCATCACTCCCCATCACTCCTACTCCCCATCACTCCTACTCCCCATCACTCCTACTCCCCATCACTCCCCATCACTCCTACTCCCCATCACTCCTACTCCCCATCACTCCCCATCACTCGCCATAACTCCTATTCCCCCATTACTCCTACTCCCCATCACTCCTACTCTCCATCACTCCCCATCACTCCTACTCCTCATCACTCCTACTCCCCATCACTCCCCATCACTCCCCATAACTCCTATTTCCCCATCACTCCTACTCCCCATCACTCCTACTCTCCATCACTCCCCATCACTCCATCTCCTCATCACTCCTACTCCCCATCACTCCCCATCACTCCCCATCACTCCTGCTCCCCATCACTCCTACTCCCCATCACTCCCCATCACTCCTACTCTCCATCACTCCCCATCACTCCCCATCACTCCCCATCACTCCTACTCTCCATCACTCCCCATTACTCCTAATCCCCATCACTCCCCATCAGTCCTACTCCCCGTCACTCCCCATCATTCCTACTCCCCATCACTCCCCATCACTCATACTCCCCATCACTCCTACTTCCCATCACTCTCCATCACTCATACTCCCCATCACTCCTACTTCCCATCCTCCTACTCCCCATCACTCCTACTCCCCATCACTCCTACTCCCCATCACTCATACTTCCCATCACTCCTACTCCTCATCACTCCCCATCACTCATACTCCCCATCACTCATACTTCCCATCACTCCTACTCCTCATCACTCCCCATCAATCCTACTCCCCATCACTCCTACTCCCCATCACTCCTACTTCCCATCACTCCTACTCCCCATCACTCCCGATCACTCCCCATCACTCCTACTCCCCTTCCTCCTACTCCCCATCACTCCTACTCCCCATCACTCCTTCTCCCCATCACTCCTACTCCCTATCCCCCTCCTGTAGCGTGTGTTGCACGGCCACACTCACACTGCAGTATGTGTCTTTAATGCACATATATGGGTCTCTATGATTTTATTGAGTCGCTGTGTGTCTCTATGGGTCTCTAAGGGTCTCTATGTATATATTGGTGTCTCTAATAGTCTCTGTGTGTCTCTATGGGTCTCTAAGCTTCTCTATGTATATATTGGTGTCTCTAGTAGTCTCTGTGTGTCTCTATGGGTCTCTGTCGGTCTCTATGTAGCTATTGGTGTCTCTCGGAGTCTCTGTATGTCTCTATGGGTCTCTATGTATTTATATGGGTCTCTATGTATCTCTATGGGTCTCTATGTATGTGTATGAGTCTCTATGTGTCTCTATGTGTCTCCACGCATATCTATGGGTCTCTATGTATATCTATGTGTTTCTATGCATATATATGGTTATCTGTGTATCTCAATATATATCTTCGTATCTATATGGGTCTCTCCCTATCTCCCATGAGTATCTGTGTATCTCTATGGCACAAGTCTGCGTTGCATTGCCACAATCACATAACTGTGGTCTGTGTCATTAATGCATCTCTATGGGTCTCTAGGTATCTCTATGAGTATCTCTGAGAGTATCTATATATCTTAATGAGTCTATGTACAGGGTGTTTAAAAAAGAACGGACCCAATTTCAAAGCAGTATATTTCACGATGGCAACATGTTACAATTACACAAAAAGTTACAAACGGTTTAATGAGTTATCAAGTTTTACCAACCATTTTATAAATGCTCTATGCGCCCTCCACCTGCTGTACGGACAGCATCGAGACGATGGTTGACTTCGTCCCAAACGCCTCTCAAAGTGTCTTCTCTTATACTGGAGATCCACATATACATAGTAAACCCCCGGCAAACACGCAGAGATACATAGAGACTCCTAGATGTACAGGGTGTTTGACAAAGATGGACCCGATTTGAAATCCCTAAATCTCTGTCACCACGAACCGCCCATGAATGAAACTATTACCGCTTGAAAGGGCGGGGCATAGAAAGGGCGGGGCATAGATAGGGCGGGGCATAGATAGGGCGCTCTATAGAGAAGGCGGGGTATAGAGAGGGCGGGGCATAGAGAGGGCGGGGCATAGAGAGGGCGGGGCATAGATAGGGCAGGGCATAGAGAGGACATGGTATAGAGAGGGCGGGGCATAGAGAGGGCGGGACATAGCGAGGGCGGGGCATAGAGAGGGCGGGGCATATAGAGGGCGGGGCATAGCGAGGGCGGGGCATAGAGAGGGCGGGGCATATATAGGGCGGGGTATAGAGAGGGCGGGGCATAGAGAGGGCGGGGCACAGAGAGGGGCACAGAGAGGTGAAGGTTCTGGGGGGCGGGGCACAGAGAGGGCGGGGCATAGAGAGGGCGGGGCACAGAGAGGGCGGGGCAGTAGAGTTTCAAGTGATTGCCGCTCGATTGCCTCTCCCAGCGCACAAAGAGCCCCTAGCCTCGGTCGTTCGCGACACGTTGACCCCACGGCAACACAAGGGGCGTTTTTGCGTTCCGTGGTTCAGCAAGACTGAATCCCCGTGATAGCGGCGCGGCGTTGCGTTTCAACGGCGTTTTGCCATCGATCCGCCAATGTCAAAGAGCACGGTGGCACAAAGGACCCGCGGTGTTTTTGTGACACCGTTAGCCACCGATCTGGATGACCTCAAAAAGCAGAATCACGGCAGCGGCGATTTCAGTGGAAGAGAGGACACTTTGAGAGGCGTTTGTGACGAATTCAACTGCATTCTCGATGTTATTATGTTATAATAATAATAACGATGGTTATTAAAACTTGACTACTCGTTCAACCGTTTGCAAACTTTTTGCGCAATTGTAACATGTTGCCATCGCTTTGAAATCGCCATCCGCCGTTATGAAACACCCTGGTATATTAAATCAGCCCGATCGCATTTGCGTCTAGACACTTGACAATAGTCAATGCTGCCTTTTAATATTGGAGATTAAATATGCCTCCTTGCGAAACGAAACAAAAAATTAAGAGAGCATGTCAGTGACTCCACGTGGCGACACGATTTTATTATTTCTTCTAAATCATAGCACATTGGGCAATTGCGCGCACAACTGTAGGATGCACTTAGGCACAAACACAAAGACAAAAGACCCCCCCCTCCCCCCACCGCATAGCCTTAACAGGCTGTTCGGGCAAGTGCTGATGGGGCAAGTGCTGTCAGCGAGCACCTATGAAGGCCGGCGCGGCACACGAAGGAGGTGGCGGGCAACCACGCCCGGCCGCCTTTGTCTCCCCCGAGGCGCGACGTTTACGCCACACACCGCAACCAGGTTACTCATTTGAGGCTGAGCCGACCTAGGGGAGGCCCAGGACCCCGGTTTCAGATAATCCTCACTGGGTGTTGGCCGTGAGCGGGAATCGAATTCGGTGCCGCGGGCTGACCGCTACACCACCGCTCCCCACTCAAGCAGACGCGCAAGCCAAAGGCAAAGGTCACCCGTATAGCCTTCGGCAGACTGTTGGGGGCAAGTGCTGCCAGCGAGTAGCAGCAGCAGCTATGAAGGCTCGGCACAACGAGGGAGCTGAGTGGTCCGCACACACGCACACACACAAAGACAAAGGTCCGCCCGATAGCCTTTAACAGACTGTTGGGTCAAGTGCTGTTAGCGAGCACCTATGAAAGCCAGAACGGCACACGAGGGGGTTGGTGGCCAGCACCACGCCCGACCGCCTTTGTCTCCCTAGTGGCGATGCAATTATTTTTTACGCACCGCGCCAGGTACTCATTTGAGGCTGAGTCGACCTAGGGGAGGCCCAGAACCCGGTTCAGACAATCGTCACCGTTGTTGATCGTGAGCGGGAATCGAACCCGGATCTGCGAGTTCGTAGCGTAGCGTAGCGCTAACCACTACACTACCGCTCCCCACAAACGCACACACACACAAAGACAAAGATCCCCCATATAGCCTGTAACAGACTGTAGGGGCAAGTGCTGTTAGCGAGCACCAATGAAGGCCGGAACGGTACACGAGGGGGTGGGTGGCCAGCACCACGCCCGACCGCCTTTGTCTCCCTAGTGGCGATATTTACACACCGCACCAGGTACTCATTTGAGGCTGAGTCGACCTAGGGGAGGCCCAGAACCCGGTTCAGACAATCGTCACCGTTGTTGATCGTGAGCGGGAATCGAACCCGGATCTGCGAGTTCGTAGCGTAGCGTAGCGCTAACCACTACACTACCGCGTCCCACAAACGCGCACACACACGCACACTCTTTCACACACACACACAAAAGCGTTATACACGTATCAATATATATATTTTTTTAACGATACTGATTAAATGTCCAAACATATACTGAGTAATGGATTGGAAGTGCCCTCGGTGAGCCTGAGGGTTAGCGGTTAGCCAGGCTTCAACCGAA